GTTCTTTGCTATTTTTTCTTTCCTCAACTTAAATCACTTCAAAAACTTAAACAAATACTCAAACTAATGGTTGAATGATTAACTTTTACATAATTTTACATCGTGTGAGAATGAGAGTTAAGTTAAGAAGCGTAATATGAAATTTGGACCCTTGATACTTGTGAACCCAGATTCAAGTCACAATTAACAAATAAAATCAAGATCAAGAACACAGGATGATTTGGCTAGTCATACGTTTATTACTTTGCAACAACAAATTACAGAGTGTTCTTGAGCAATGTCTCTCACAAGATTACAGAATGATACGGGATATCTCTCAAAGCATAAATCTCACAAAGCTTAACTACCATAACTACCAAGGTCACCTATATACACCCTTCTTGAAAAGGAATAAACTAACTACAATTCTACAAAGCTGTTAAAGAAAAGCATATAAAAAAAATTTAACACATGACTTGAATACAACGTTTTTAATTCAACACTTTTTCCGGAAATGCATTTGCAGTTGGTAGATCTAGAATTCTCCTCAGTCTTTTAAGTGTAAGGCGGCTCAGAAAGTTGTCACCATATCCTTCAAAGTAGAACTGGCTTCCTTCCTTAATATATGACAGTGTATACCAAAATTGATGTAGGTATACTAACTAGATATCGGCTTATCGCATTAACTCTGCTTCTCACCAAAATTTAACCCATTTTACACAAAGTTCAATGGTGGGAAAATTGGTACTAATCATTGGAGTGGTCCTTGAACTTTAATAATCGAGAAAAAGCTAATTAGAAAATCATTTGAATAAAGAAAAGACGATGAGATAACTTTAATATATCATTCTCAATAAGTTATTCTGTGACACCCTTGTCATTTTTCAAATATGATTAAAATATTACAAAAAATGGAAAGCTTTTTTGTGAAGTATAATTAATTACGATAAAATTGGGTTTATATATCGTTAAAATTGTGTAGGTGTCTCGATAAACTGTGTTATAGGACATGAGCTTTTTGGATCAAACGTAAAAGTGTCCTATCTAAAGTTGTTGCAACAGGTTTATAGGACATTTTTGGGTGTCATAACAAGTTTATTAGAACACTTTTAGAAATATGACATTTTGAAGAGGTGTCATATAAACATATCTTTTTACATGACACTTTTTTATAAGACACTTTTTTAGTATCATATAAAATAACCAATGTGATGCTTTATTTTAAATGTATCCTAAAAGAATTTTTAAGACGTCAAAAAACGTCATATAAACCTATTGCAACATCTTTGAATATGACATTTTAACGTTTGGTCATAAAAATTTATGTCTTATAAAACAGTCTAATGGGACACTTATACAGTTTTAGGTGTGGATAGTTGGTTCAGCGGTTGATGGTATAGATGGAGGGTAGAAGTATTGACAAATTGTAAGTTGAAGTATTTGGGGTTGGGTTTGCCAGGTGTAGATGCGTTGGATTGATCGGGAGTGGTTGGTGTAGGAGAATCGTTGGGTAGATTGGGAGTGGTTGGTGTAGGTGAGGCATCAGATGGAGATGGGTGAGGTGAGGGAATAGGACTATCGAGTGGGTTCGGTTGAGAGGGAGGTGAGGTAGGGGAAGGTGGTTCTTGTATGGGAGGTGTAGTAGGTGTATTGGGTTGGTTGTGAATATTGAGTGGCATAGGACATGGGGTGTGGGTTATGGGGTGATTTTGGTTTGGAGGGTTGGTGAAGGTATTTGGGTTATAATGGAGGAATTGGTCAATAGTGGGTAAGGATGATTTGGTGGCTTCTTTGGACGTGCATGGATATAGATGTTCAACGATTTGAACATGTCTCGAGTGGAATAGACGGCGGGATGATGGGTCATAGCACTTGTAGGCGGATTTTGAAGAAGAATATCCTTAAAAAATGCATGGCGTTGATTTTGGGTGGAGTTTTGATTTTGTTTACGGTTTGAGCCATGGATAGCAAAGGCATCCGAACAACTTGAGTTTGGTGTATGTTGGTGGTTTGCCATAGAGAATATCGTATGGGCTTTTGGAATTTAGAATTGGTGTCGGAAGTCTATTAATTAGATAGACGGTGGTTTGGAAGGCATGGACCAGAACTGGAACGAAAGGTGAGCATAATGGAGTAGTGCTAAACCTGTTTCAACGATATGACGGTGGCGTCTTTCAGTGATACCATTTTGTTCCGGTGTATATGGGGGTTGGGGGGGGGGGGTTAAAGTGAGATATGCCTTGGGTTTGTAGATAAGGAATGAGACCTGTATATTCACCACCATTGTCAGTAAAGATGGAGATCAAAGAAGTTTGGAAATATTTTTCAACCAAGTTTTTAAATTGTGGAAAAAGTGTTTTGATATCTGACTTGTGTTTTCATCGAAAATAGCCATACATATTTGGTGTAGAAATCCACAAAAATTACATAATAATTGAAACCATCAATGAATTTTACAATTGGTCCTCACAATCAAAGTATAAAAGTTCTAATGGTTTTGAAGCAGTGAATGAAGTGACACCAAAGGGAACTTCATGACTTTTATTAATTGAACAAGAATGACAATGAAAATCTTGAAGCTGTGACTTAACGCCTATGGATTGTGCAAAAATTTAAAAATCCTAATGGATGGATGCCCGAGTTTGTGGTGCCAATCAAGAAACGAGACGGTTGTAGTGGAGTTGAGTTGTGGTGTGGAAGGAAGATTGGCATAGTAGATGTCAAGTTGATTCTCCCCCGTATTAGACGCACCCCCGTGCTGAGATCCTTAACAAGGAAATGATAGGAGGAAAATTCAACAGATACATTGTTAGTTTGACAAAGTTTAACAACCGAGACAAGGTTATTGCGAAGTTTTGGAACATATAAGACATCGGGTAAAGAGAGTGGGCGTGAGGAAGTGTATAGTTGTGCATTACCAGTGTGGGATATGGAAAGAGGCTTACCATCGCCAAGGATAACTTCATCCGGTCCCCCGTACTCAGAGAATGTGTGAAGAGAGGATTTGTCAGAAGTAAAGTGATGTGAGGCTCCGATATCAAACATCCATATTGGGGATGAAGAAGCAGGTCTGGAAGTGGTGGCGTTGGCAATCGGTGTGGTGGTAACGTTGTTGTCACGTAAGAATCGAGCGAGTTTTCGACAATCTTTGATTTCATGCCTTGGGATATTACAAAATTGGCAATGAGCTGATATGCGATTTGCACAATTTCCACCAGAATTATTAGTGGAATTGGGCCACTGTTGACGTCCCGAATAGGTGAACCTGGATTGCTGGTTTTGCATGTCTTGAGGGTTTTTGGAATTGGTTCTACCATTGCTTCGTCGGGTGTAGTTGACATTACTTATGATCGGAGGAGAGGAAGGCATTGTGTCGCCTAGTTGTCTTTCAAAGTCTACTAGTTTATCGAACAGTTCGGGATATGATATAAGTGTGTCACGAGCCTTTAGGGCTGCAATAATGGTGTTGTATTCATCATCTAGTTGGCCGAGAATATGGATAAGCAGCTCTTCCTCGTCGACAGGATTGTGGACAAGAGCGAGTTCATCAGCAATTGACTTCATGTCGTGGAGGAATTCAGCGACAGATCGGTTTCCTTTGGGGTTCTTGGCAAGTTTGGATTTTAGAGAGATAATTCTGGAGCGAGAGGCACCGGCATAACCGGTGGTTAGCCGTTTCCATGCTTCGCGAGAGGTTTCGGCTGAAGACAAGATGGGTTGGATTTTATCGACGCAACTGCCAAGAATGGCGCTTAGGATGATTTGGTCTTGCCGGAACCACCGTGTATATTCTGGGTTTGGTTTGGTTGAATCTTTGTCGGTGATGAGTTTTGGTGGAGGTTTATGTTCCCCATTGATAAAGCTGTCAAGATCCAAACCAATGAGTGTCGATTGGATCTGTTTCCTTCAGACGGAAAAATTGTTTGCATTGAGCTTGATAGAGAAGTGAGTGCTTGAGGTGATGTGAATGATAGTGTTTGACATTTCTTGGGTTGCAAAGAATGAGGATTTTGATTAGAGAGAAGCTTAATCGATTTCTCGTGAGAGCAAATTAAAGGCCTTGATACCATATAAAGGCATAGATGATATGGGAATAAGTGATTCATATTATTGAACAACAGTGGGGATTTATACAAGGAATACAACAATCGAAAGGATAAATGATTGCCTTGCCTAAATTAATGTATAGTTACAATCAATCAACTAAATATAAAAATACATATTAAATGGAATTTGAATAGGTAGTAGACTTTCCTTTTCCTTGAGATATGGATTGATCCGTAATACTGATCCGTTATCGAAACAGCAGACACTACAATGGTGTCCACAGGATGGGCAATGTATGAACTCGTGAAAAACCCAAAGAAGCAGGATCAGCTCTGTGATGAAATCCAAAACGTTTGTGGGTCGCAAAAGATCACGGAGGAGAAGCTGTGCCAGATGCCGTATTTATCGGGTGTCTTTCATGAAACTTTGAGAAGGCATAGTCCTGTTTCAGTAATCCCATTACGATATGTGCACGAGAACATTGAGCTCGGAGGGTACCATGTTCCCTCTGAGACCAAGGTTTGTTTTAGATTAACCATCATTCAAAACTAGATGTTTTTGCATATGGAATATGGAGAAGGAAATCTGGGAGAATCCGTGGAACCCAGAGAGATTTCTTGCAGAAAATGATCCAATTCGACCTGTAACGAATGATGGCGTCTGGAAGGGGGAAACGAGTGTGTGCTGGGGCTATGCAGGCGATGTTGATTGCGTGTATGGGTATTGGCCGAATAGGGACTTGAAGAGGACACCGGAGAAGATGTCAATACGCTTAATCTCATAGCACAGAAACTTAATCCGATGCATGCCGTTATGAAGCCGAGAAAGCAATTATACAGAAATACGGGTAATCATCGAGTTACAACGAACTTGAATATGATCGGATTTGAGACCAGTGGATGCTCAAACTTGTCAATGTTTATTTTGTGATACAAAATATATTATGATAGAATGGGGGTGGAATTCTAACTCAATTTCAGTACAAACGGCTTAACGATTTGAAGCATATACCATATGACATACGTTTTATATGAAAGAAAAAAATGCTGCATATACCAATTCATACAAAAAGCATTCGGAGAACTTACTTTCACATAACACTTGGTTCTCTAACCCAATTACCGAAGATCGACCGTTAGTTCGGTTTGAAGAATTTGAGCTTGAGTCCGCTATTAACCATGCTCCAAATGCCACCAATCGAAAACGCCAAACTGAAGGCGATGCCGAGCCAACCCAGTGTCCAATTGAAGTACCAATTGAAGCTATATTTTACAGGTTTCTTGATGAGAACCCACATGAAACACGGGTATGCAAACGTGACCGGAAGGGTTAGCCCTCCTAACAAACCGGCTAGGCTGGCTAGGAAAGGGAGTGCTACGCCTATGAAGAAATTGATAAACCCGTAAACCACTCGGAATCCGGACCGAACCCACACCGAGCATGGTCGGTTCGTGCGGCTTGTGTAGCTGGCTTCAAAACTGTCAAAAACTGGCATCGAGTATATCTGAAAGCCACTCAAACAGCTAAAAACAACCAGTAGGAACGTCACTGCGAGCAGCCCTCTTGAAATATCGTGACTATGGAATGCGAATAGCGCGTTCAGAATCCCTCCCGATGGCATCTAAAAACAACAAGTTTCCGGTTATGGATTTGTTCAAGGAATCAAATAATCTCGAATTCGATGCACTTACGAGGTTTCCGTAAGCCCAAAAACCTCCGATAGCTACCGGGAACAGACACATTGCAATGAAGAAGTACGCGACCTTCGCTCCTTTCCACATTGGGACATGAGCCGGATGCTTGAACGTCGACGGCATCGTAGACTAGAAAGTTACCGTAAAACAACAAAATTCGGTTATATTTCTAACAAAATGATGAAGGGGGTTATTCAGTTAAATGGAAGTTATTTTTACATACAAAATACCTGAATCTCGAGGACTAGATTGTGGCCTCGAAATGCAAAGGCAATGATACCAAGAGCATTGAGGAAAGAAAAGAGGGAGGCCGAAAACGAAGGCAGTGGGATCGGTTCATAGGCGATGTTGGGCGGGCGCTGTTGGCTAACCGAAAGAACCCAAACCATGGTCGAGTAAAATATCGCAGTCACTGCTCCTATGAGCGAGAGTCCCGCTATCGAGTTGAGGTTTGGGAGCTGAGACAGCACAATGCATAACAAAGTGAAAACGAGATACCATTCAACTGTGGTTAACGGATTTGACGTACAGAGTGGCCCACAAACAAGCTCGAAGAAGAGTTTCATGGTCTCGCCTCCGATAAGAATCAACGCTGTCGCGGTTCCTGCAGACAAGTAAACCGTAGGGAAGAGAGCTAACCACACCCCGAGTCGCTCCCCTGAACAAAAATTGCGATAGCATTAACGTTAAAATCATATGTGGTTTTACAAGTGATTTCGATATTTTGTTATTTAGTGTACATATTCTTACCAAAAGCTGCTTGAGCAAGCTCGACATATCGATTGTACCTCTTTCCAGGAACTGCTTCATGGAGTTGTACCAATATCCACAAAGTGTATAGTTGCCAAATGTAGGCTATGCTTAACGACACTATGCCCCAACTCCTACATGCTTAATCAATTAATCTCCTCCAAACAAACACCATCTAAGGGCGGTTTACCTAAATGCTTACCCGGTAAGTGCTTACCGTTAGGAGTCAACACTATAATTTATTTTATTGGGTAAGGTTGTAGTACATCAAAACGTATTTCATGCAACAATTTTCCTGGTAAGCGCTTACCCAGGTAAGAGTCGTCACCCTCATTTACCGGGTAAGATTCTCCATCTTTATACTCGTTTTTACCGGGTAAGATTCTTAGCCCTTGTCATGTTCATCATGTAAGTACTTACCGGATAAGCGTTTAATAAACGGCCCTTAAATCTCATTAATTTAGGGGTCATTTACTAAACACTTACTTGATAAGTACTTACCATATAAATTTCCTCATCGGATAAATATGAGAAGGGTCAAGAATCTTACCGGGTAAGAGTGATGAAAATGATGGAGAGTCTTACCCAGTAAGTGGGGATGACAACTCTTACCAGGTAAATGCTTACCCATTAAATTGTTGCATTTAATATGTTTTGATATACTAAAATCTTACACATCAAAATAAATCTTTCTGTTGACTCCTATCGGTAAACGTTTATCAGGTAAGCAATTGGGTAAACGACCCCTTAATCACATTCTCATTTAACAAAACCATCAATCTCCAAAAAGGAAAATATAAAATATAAGAGCATATTTAACGGTATGTGATATTTAATTCCTCCTCATCAATAAAAGGCATCAAAATTAAATTAAATATTTTAATAATATAAATGATTGGTAAAATTACTAAAAATAGAATAGTTTTTGGATTTAATTTAATTCTTTCTAGAAATTTAATTTTTGAAAAATTACTGGATAATCGTTGGATATAGAAAAAAAGCATTATAAATACTAACCAGCCGAGGAAAGAGAAAGCGACCGGCAAAACCAGAGCCTGGAAGCCGACGCCGGCGTTGAGGTTATGAAAGGCGGCGTAATGAGCATTGCCGTTCCGGGACTCCGTTATCGGAAGCCATGCGTCTTGTGGGTTTAGTTTCGTTAGATGACCCACTTCTTCTAAATACCCTTTCATGTTTATCAACACCCTCTTCATCGGCGTACCAATCGGACTCAAAAACCTCGGTGATATAAACGACGTCGGTGTCCACGCCGTCGACGACTTCCCACCTTCCTTCGACATTGGTCTCGGCGACCTCTGCCCTGACGGTGTCTGTATTTCCGGCGTGGAAACCCGTGGTGTCGCCGGTATCGATATCAGCTCCATCTCCGGCCTCTCCTCCATTAATTCTACAAGCACCCCAATAATTAATGTGATTGATGAGAGAAAGAAGTAGAAAATGATTTATAGCTAGGGAGGATTGTGGGAGTTTGGGAAGAAGAGATCGTGACCGTCGGAAATGGAGAGATCTCGAGGTAAAAGTGAGGGTGGTGGTCTGAACGGAGAATCTCTGTGATGATGTGTGTGATTTTACTGTCTCTGTCGTTTTTCAAAAAGGACATTTGGGTGTTTACACTTTAACCCCCTTAACTTTCACTTTTTCTGAAAATCTGTTTATGAAATTTCAATTATTGTCACGTACCCTTCGTCGGTGTGTGAATGTTTGAAAATGTTTTATAATAAAATAAATAAATTTTAATAACGTATTTGTTTTATTATAATTTTATCAAAAAGTTGTATAGTTTTAATTAAATTTATTAGCATAAAAGATGAAAAGGTAAGAATATTGCATTGTGTGGGGGCTTACTGTGCCAAAAGCGAGATAAATATCATCTCTCTCTTTCCTTTTAACGTCTCCATACCAATCAAAGATACTGAAGACCAAAAAATGTTGCTAAGAATAATTTTGATCAATCTATTCCAAGACATGTTTCGATTCGTCAGGTTGTCTCTTGCCTGCCCATGGATTCAGCATCCATGATTTTTTTACTGTTGTCTTTGAATTTTGAGAAATAGATACATCAGATATTAAGTTTAAACGAGTTTAAACCGAAAGAAATAACTTTTTGATATTAGTAAAAAGAAATCGAGTTGGGTTGGGTCGACTTGCTAACATTTTTTTATTATATAAACCATAAGAGTGGTGCCTGATTGGTTTGAGCTTGGCTCCAAAGGTCAAAAGTACCAAGAGGCCTCAGGTTCAAATCCATGGAGAAATAAAAATTCCTTTGTGGCCACGGAGGTTCAAATGCGATGACTCCGGGCTATCTGCAAAGCAGGTGGTCGTCCTGTGATTAGTCGGCTCGCATAGCGGGTTGGATATCCAGGTTAATAAAAAAAAATTCTTTTGATATAATTAAAAATATATATTCTTGGAATGATAATCTAGTTTTTTAGTTAATTGATTTTTGAGTTTTGTGCAATAATGCATTTAATTTTGTATATATTATATTTGTTAGAGGTTCGTAGTCTGGTTTGAACGGGTTAACCTCCTAAACCACAAACCAAAAACATAATGACAGTTCAGGAAAATTTTCAAAACGAGCGGTTTAGTCACTAATCAAACCACAAAAAATCAGTTTGGTTTGATGGGTTTTGACGGTTTTGGAGCTCTTATGAGCTTTTAAACTCGGAAAAGCATAACATTTATATTGAAAATGAAATTTCTAGTCAAAGACCTTCCAGCCTAGTGGTAAGGCTTGGACATGGCATAGTCATGAACCCGAGTTCGAGCCCTGGGAGGGGAGTGTTGGCGACATTTAAGTAGGGCCATGTTTAGCTTGAGGAAGTAAAGGATGATTTGAAATTTTGGATTTTGATTTTTAACAGAGTTTGCAATTTTGTCAATTTAAATGATGCAGTCAATTGAAAAATAAAAACTAAAAACATAATCTCTTGGACGATTTTTTTAATTGTGTCACAGAGTTGAACCTATAACATGAAAACTATATATATATATTTAATGTATGTGTATTTTTGGTGGTCGGTTTGGTTTAAAACGTTAAAAAAACATTTAAACCGCATATCAGACCGGACTAAATGGTTTGACTATTTTTTAGACTGGAACGGACCGTCAGACCGCTCAAACTACTAAAAGTGGTCTGATTTAACTTGATTTGACCGGTTTAAATGGTACAACGGTTTTTTAAAACACTCCTATCTGCTTGACTGGTTTCTATATCATTTAATTTCTTCTAGTTTTTTTTAGTTATTTGACATGTTACAAATATAAGAAAATTGAAATTGAGGGGTTGTTTGTTTACCTCTTAATAGTTCCATTAAGAGGTAGACTTTGAACCGTTAAGAGGTGAATCTTGTTTGACAAAAAAAAGTCTGCCTCTTAATGGTTTTAAAACTTTCTGAATTATTTTGTATCATGGGCCTCATTTAACCATTAAGTACCCTAATTTCATTGTAAACAATTACCAAACAATTATATTTCATTTTGCACTATACCATGAGAGTGTCTTAATAACTCTAATCACTTAATCATTTTTGCATTAAATCATTCAACAACTGTCAAACAACCCCTGACTCATTTGCATATAAATTAGTCAAGATTTTCCCTCCAACAAATTATCCAAAACTAAGAAAACATTAAATAGAGAGTGTGAAATTCTCCAAATTTGAAGAACTCGCCAGAAATTATTACCGTGAAAGATAAACAGATTTTTTATTAGATTCCCATCAATAAGAAACCGTAATGTTTATGAAAGTGAAGTTAATATTTTATTACATGTATAATGTATTTTAATAATATAATTAATGTTGTAATATTTAAAACAGAAAATCTATTGTTGTAATTTATTCTTGAAGATTTTTAAGTTATGATTCTCCATTTAGAGAAATTTTATTGAATGTATTAAAAATGTTCTTATATTTTGCATTCCTGGGTATTAGATTATAAACCATCAAAGTGAAGGGGGAAGTTGTTAAAAGTTTGTTTAATTATAAGGGGTTAGATTTATAAATGGAAATAGTTAGAGGGGAAAAGAGTGAAATTTTGGTGAAGAAGCATGGGGGGTGGGTCCATACTCATAGCCCGCAAATTGAATGTAAATGTCTAAAAAAGGGGAGAAACTGCTTACGATGGTGACCAAGACCAAGATTTGACTGCAGTTTACGGTGGTCACCATGGGACCCGCTTTTTATATGTTTGTTGGGTTTATTTGTGATAAATATCTGTATATTTATTTACATTAAAATTATATTATCGAAAATATATAAGTAAGTGTTGATGTTTATGCATGTAACAATCAAAGAGGAAATATATAAGTAAGAATAAGGGTGTATAAAAAATCGTTAATTTATAAAATCAGTCCCACTCAACTCGTTAACAACCTAGTTAAACCTCATCTATCGTACTGTTAATCCGTCAATCTGCTAATTAGGAGGGTTGAAATTGGGTTAGGCTAACTCAACTCAACCCAACCCAAACTCCCAACTCGCGGCTAGTATATATTACTTCGTTAAATTTATATCTATGCTATCTTATAAATCAAATTTAACAAAAGTCTTAAAGTCTTAAAATATTAAATGACCAAGATATCATTTATATCACTTTTTTACCTCCTCCTCTCCTCACATACATTCACCCCTTCACATACACTCACTCTCTCACAACCAATTATTTTAAAATTATAATTTTAAATTTATACTTTATACCCCTATAATTAGTTAATTAATTTACTTTACGTCCTTTACTTTTAAATGTTTCATTTTAAACCTTTATCAAATTAATATACATAATCGTATATCAATTAAAACATGTTTAAAAAATACATTTTTATTTTAACAAGTTACACCATTATAATCGTCTCGTTAATACCTTCGAAATGAGTCTAATATTGAATAGTTTTTCACTTAATTATATTATTATATGTTATATACTGTGAAAAAATATTTTTAATATTTACGATTTATACTTTTATAGTTATTTATTTATATATATACTATATATTTTAGGGTTAGGCTGTCCAAATTGCACTGTATAATATGTTCTGAATTAATATGTTCTTGGATTTTTTTGAAATATATATATACATGTATTAATTCAACTTTAATCTGAGTTTCTGGACAAGAAAGAGGGTAAGCAGTTGAAATTTCATTCTAAAACCCATTTTTTGGTCTTTTCATGGCTTATGATCTGTCAAATTTGTAGTTTTCTTTGTTGGTTTTGAGTATTTATCTTAAAACTCAAGTTTCTTGGTTCTTTGCTCTTGGTGTAAATCRAACACATTTGTGGAGTCGTTTAAATATGTTGGATTTTAAATATATTGGATTTTAAACTGTCATATAATTTTTTTCACCGATAGTCTGTAATTGGAACCATAACTCTTATTTATTCAAATTGTATTAATATGTAAAGACCAAGATTAACATATATCATCGTTAAATCTTATCTTATAAAACTAATGAAACTTCAAAATAATTAAAATTCATGGCTCCCGCCGCATTGCACGAGTACACAACTAATATATATATATATATATATATAGAGAGAGAGAGAGAGAGAGAGAGAGCTTGGTTCAAATACTAACCAAGATTTTTGTATTAACTTTGTTAACCAAACTCAACCAATCATATTCTATCTTTTCTTTAGTTTTACATATAACTCATATATTAATGAGTAGGGTAATTAAGTAATTTGTCATTTATGTAACTCCCAAATCATTAATTGGGAGTACAAATCTAAAAATCTCAATAATTAATGATTATGTAATATTGATATTTTTTATACGTGTTCATGTTTTGTAATTTCGATTTATTCTATCAATAATGATATTGATTTTGTAATTGTTAAAGAATTTTCGATTGTAAAGATTTCGATATCGTCCGAGTAATATGGATAAACCTATTGGAAAACAAATCGACAACAATGAGAATGAAAAGATTAAAATCGTCTACGACTACAATCAGAATTCGAATTCATATGTAATTGTTAAAGAATTGTTCACAAATGTTCACATTGTGTTCATATGTACACTAGCTGCATATCTCAACATTGGCTTGCTCCTGAATGTGTTTATAATGAAGAAACTATTGTTCACAAACTGTTCATATTGTGTTCATACCTGTTTTTTATTTATTTACTTTCGTGTAACAACTATTCTAATTATATTCATATCGTGTTCATAAATGCTATACAGTCCAAGTTAATATATATGTCAATTTTTGTTCGTATTTGACACAATGGTTCACACACACACACACATATATATATATATATATATATATGTGTGTGTGTGTGTGTGTGCGTGTGTGTTCATATGATTCTTACATTAACAAAAATAAATTAATAAAAATAATGAGATTTTTTGATTTTATAACTCCCAATTAATGAT